TCGATTTTATTGGTAAAATAGTGGCTAAATGGGGAGAGCAATAATATTACTCTAGTGCAATGTTTTATTATTTAATTCCATTAAATAGGAATTGATTTTATTCCATATTAATTAATTAATTAGGAGAATAAAATTCCTACTAGAATCTTCTATTGGAATTAGGAGACTTGGGAGTCTTCTAGAAGATGGAGATTAGTAGGGAATATATTTCCTACATTATATTAGTAATTGGAGTAAAATTAGGTATCCTAAATTAGGAATTAATTCTATTCCATGATTATTAATTTAATTAGGAAAGGAAATTCCTACAAGGATCTTCTCTAGTGTTAAGAGACTTAGGAGTCTTCTAGAAGAGATGGATTAGTAGGAGATCTCCTTCCTAGATTGAGTTAGTATTGGATTAGAATTAGGATTCCTTGGCCTAATGGAATAAGCCCATATTTAGCACCTCCTTAAGGTCCCTAATGGAGCCTATAAATACACCATGTCTCAATCTCTCCTACAAGTTGATGTTGGCCGATTTTCTCACCTACATACACGAGAGAAATATCATTGTTCGAGAGTTAGGGAGATTCGATTAAGCGCTCCACCAAGTTTAATCGGAATAGGTGTTTAGGTAATCCGTTAGAAGGCTTTTTGGTACAATGAATTGAGCTTTCTAATAACCATATTTTCCGGTCATCATCATCACATCATCACCGCCGATCGCCTCCCATCGCCGCCGTGAGTGGTCGCCGGAAATCGCCAACTGCCGCCGGTCGCCGCCCGAACCCAGCCACGTGCAACCGCACGCTACCGCGAGCAGTCGCACATCGCCGAGTCCAGTCCGCGACGCCCAACGATGCCCGCGTGCTCCCAGCAACGCCCGCGTGCTCCCAGCAATGCCGCTTGCATGCCCGTTCGCATCCGCTGCCAGTCGTCCTGCCCGCGAGATCTCAACGCCCGTCCGCGACGCGTCTGCTATTCCTCACACGCCCAGGAGAGCCGTATCACACGCCCGCGTGCATCCACAGCATCCCAGCTCCAGTCCGCGTAGGAGAAGGAGTCCCG